GAAGAAGAGGTGGAAACTGGGTTGGAGGAGATGCTGGTGAAGAAGATGGGAAGGGGACCAAGAAACCCCAGATTTCGCTCGGGGTGGACGGTGCATGACCCATCCAGGATCCCGCATCGCCATGGCGATACCGTCAACGGCGGGACGCACCCGCGCTAGCATCGTATGCATAGAGATGATTGGCTCTGTGATGTCATACAGAGGCTGAAATTCCAGCGCTCAGCATATTCTGTCCTCGTCTGCTGCGTGCTGAATTACGAATGCCAGGCTAGGGCATGACGGAGTGCACCATCCCACACTTAACGGTTGGAAATGTTGTTGAAATAGCAACATACAGCGTGCACACGGCGGGAATGTTGCCAAGTGCAGATTCTCCACGTGACGCCTGCTGATCGCATTCATTGGACTGGGACGCGTCACGCGTAAGGGGGCTATTTCGCCGAAACTCAGGGTCCGCTTGGATGTCGCAATCAGGGTTCATACGCATTACTCCCTGAAAACTCAGTGTTGTGATAACGCGAACCCTGAAATTATAAGTGTTCACAAACATACAACCCTGAAGAGGTTAGGGTTAAAAAATCCCAACCCTGAAAATTAAGGGTTGGAAAAAAAATACCCTATGAAATCAGGGAATCAGGATAAAATACCCTAATAACGACAGGCTTGCCTGGAAGTCGGCACACAACTCAGGGTGGCACTACTAGTCCAGCCTATGAGGCAAGGGTCTGTAGACCATTCAACAAGAGTACAAACAAGACAAGAGCAAACTAGGGCGGCACTACTAGTCCGACCTCTAGAAGAGAAGCCACAAGACCTATCAGAAATGTATATATAAAGAAAAGTACACAATCAAGGTCGTAGCAAGTGAGTAGCTACAGGAAATAGACCAAGCTGCAAACAGTGCCGCTGATGATATTCAGGCACAAGCGCCTTAGCAAAGATATCAACTGTGTTGGCACCAGAGACCAAGTGTACTACGCGGGCCTGGCGACGCTGCTGTAGCTCGCGCAGGAGGAAGTACCGCAGCTGGATGTGCTTTGCTCTGCCCTCCAGTCGAGGCTCCTGACACAGGAGGATCATGGCCCTGTTGTCAACGTACAGAACTAGGGCAGAGCTAGGCCGCTCACCTAAGTCTGTGAGCAAGAAATTCAGCCAGCAGAGCTTCTGTGCCACCATGGCACTAGCGTAGATCTCAGCCTCGCGGCTGGACTGTGCAACAGACGACGAGCGGGTAACCTCCACGAGATGACACATGCACCAAGGCTAAAGCAGTAGCCCTGAGAGACCTAAGGGTCTCAGCGTCGTCTGCCTAAGAAGCGTAAGTGTGCCCAGAAAGGACCACTGGCCTGCGTCCTCCCAGCACTAGCCCCATGTCCGATGTACTTGCTAGAATAACACAAAAATCTCTTAGCGGCCGACCAGTGCTATGGTCGGTGTCTGCTGTGGCCAGAAAGCGGGCCAGGATGCTGAGAGGGTATGCGAGATATGGACGGGTGCAAGTCATTAGGTACATAAGGCAACCCACCAGCTCTGCGTAAGGACCACTGGGCCTCTACTGACCCCTTAGAAACTGGAGCGGAAAGCCTGTGGTCTACTGGCTGAGGTGTAGGCTTTGCTGAGGAGAACTGAAGACCGAACCTCTGAAGGATCTGGTGCACCAAAGAGTGACTGTGTGAGAGTGATGGTGAGCGCTGCTCTGTCCCTGGAGATCTACAGGCCAAGGTAGTAGCGCAGCTCTCCTAGGTCAGTGCAGGTGTGCAGGTCAGCCTTCACGGTGGCCAATGCGTCTCTGTCTGCAGTAGCGAATACAAGGTCGTCTACGTAGAAAAAGATGTAGAACGGAGTTTGGCCAGCACGAACGAAGAGCGAGGGTCTGCAGAGGACGGAAAGAGTTGCAGGTCATCTAGCGTAGCACGCAACGTGTCGTGCCATTCAGAGGGCGCCTATCGAAGGCCGTAGACCAGGCATCAGGGGAGCCACTGGGTCCTAGGCGGGAAGGTACCGGTGAAGCCCTGCGGACGGCGCAGGTAGACCTGCTCGTGTAGGTTGCCCTGAAGAGAAGCAGTGGAGAAGTCAAGAGAGTGGAGCTCGTAGTCACGCTGTGCTGCTATGTGTAGCAGCGCGCGAAGAGTAGTCATCTTCGGGGTCAGTTGAATGTCTGAAAGAAGTCCACCCCCTCGCGCTGAATGAAGCCTCGAGCCACATAGTGCGCCTTGAACGCAGGCGGCTCTCCAGGAAGGCGCTTCACCTTGAAGAGCCACCGGCCATCGACTACGTTCACCCTAGGTGTTGGAACTGCGTTGACGTAGGTGCCGGTGGATCTCCAAGATGCCATCTCCTCCTCCATGGCAGCTATCTAGTGAGAGGCCTAGGGTCTCGAGGTCGCCTCAGCGTAAGTGCGAGGGGTCGGGATGTCAAAGGCGTCTGGGGCACCCTTTGGGACTAGCAGCATGGAACAAAAATGGAGAGCAGCCTTGGACAGGAAACCAAGCCCGTACGGCCTGTCCTCTAGGACGTCCTTGCGAAGGGCAGGAGCACCCCCGACGGACAGAGGGCAGGCAGGGCCAGAGACCAGAGCTATGGCATAGTCAAGGTGGCAAGCACCAGGAAGTAGCGCATGTAGTCGTCGACAAGCACCAGGAAGTAGCGTTCTCAACGCGGCCCAGGGATGGGGGCTGGACCCCTGACGTCTAGGTGCAAGGTCCGGAGTGGCGCGGTGGCAGGGCGAAGCGAGGAGGAGTGAAGAGCATGGCACAGCCGGCCCTCGACGCAGGGCGTGCACTGCGGCGCAGGCGAGGGAGGGAGGGAAGGAAGTGATGTAGGGAGACCTTGGACAAGACCGTGCTGGGACATGTGACGCAGACGCGGGAGTGCAGGTGACCTAGGCAGTGGTTCTACAGCAGCGACGGGTGAGTGAGCGACCGACACGAGCAAGCCACGGCTTCCTGGGGGGAGCCCTCACTGGGGGGACGCACGTGTAAACAGGCCGGACACAGGGTCCAGGGGGAACCTGGTTAGAGGAGCACCAGTGGCGGTCTTGGCGCAGACCGCGTACCGTTCGTTTTCGGGGAACTTAGTGGTGACGCAGAGGTCCTGAAGACAGCCAACACCAACTGGGTTCCTAGAGAACGAGGGGATGTGCAGGCCTGTAAGAGTGCCCGTGGGAGCCGCCGGACAGGGAAGGGCGGTGGAGCTACGTGCAACTACCGGACCAGAGGAGGGGTCTGCAAGTGCGACGACGGCAGAGGCGGCAAGCGACGTAAGGGAAGTGTGGTCGCGGAAGAAGCAGGTAGACGCACCGGAGTCGAGATTGAAGGAGAGCGAAGTGCTAGCGGCTACCAGCGGAGGAGCTAGTGTGGAGCCTAGGCTGTCTTACGCCTGACAAAGCAGGGGAGCCTAGACTACACACGGTGGACACACCTACGCCAGGCAACATCGGGTAATATGGTCCATCACACTAGAGTTATCAGCATACATAGCAGACATAGCATTCCTAATCTGATCCATGTCAAACTCAAAGACCGGCACATGATGGCGAGCCAGGGCGTACCTGTGAGAGTACGACCCCGTTACACCACTTGGCCTTTTCTTATTTCCTTCCCTTTTCATTTCTCGTTTTACCACATCTCATTTGGTTTCCTCTTCTTCCTTTTCCATTATCCTTTGGTCTCTTCCTTTATTATAATTATATCACCGACCAGGCATGGAATGTACTAGAGACGTTATCCAGCGTAATCCTGCCGTAATCCCTTAAAGCCAATAGCCTCACGTGGCTATACGCAGGGTGATTCTATCTTCTAGAAGGGTCTATTCCCTTAGGATAAGATAAACCTGGTTACCTGATGTACTCTGGAAGTATAAAAGCGCCTTGTACTGATCGATAGTGCAACCTTTCCTCGACACATTCGATCCTGTGACACTTGGTAATCAGAGCTTTTCTCACTCGGCCGCGCTCAGCTAAGCAGCAGCAGCGGGGATCCTGCCTCGAAAAACCGCCGGGGGCGACCAATTCGACGCCGATTCTGGTAAGCACCAGCTCCGCGATTTTCGAATTACCCCCTCCGTGCGGGTTTTGAACAGGATGGCAACCTTCGACAACGCCGAGGTTACCCAGCAGCTCTTCGCACGCATCGCAGCCCTTCAGGAGGAAATGCGAGCGGATCGCGAAGCGTGGCGAAACCAGTTCGAGCGAGTAACTCGACTCGCCGGAGCGCAGCACGAGACGACAACGGCGACGACGCAGCAGTCGCAGCAGTTTCTCGAGGCTCCGAAACCGCGCCCCACCTGAGCCGTTCGATCCGAGCGATCGAAACTCCGACGCCCGCAGATGGATCGCCGGGATGGAGATCTACTTCGCAGCCGTCGGATGGAGCTCGCCAGTCTGGGACGGTCAACGTGTACGACTCGCGGCGACACTGATGCGAGGGCCGGCACTCGAGTGGATTGGCGGCAACAGTACTTTCATCCACGGTGAAGCCACGTGGCAGCAGTTCCGCGCCGACCTGCTGAAACGATTCGAGCCGATAAATTCAGGTTTCCTTGCCCGCGAAAAAATTCATCGCCATCGACAGTTCGGGAGTGTAGCACAGTACACGCAGCAGATGGAAGAATTTTATAACAGAATTCCCGACCTGACCGAAGGGGAAAAAGTGCAATCGTACCTCGCAGGGCTGAAGACTGAAGTCAAACGACAGGTGGCAGCGTCAAACTACGCGAGCTACAGTGACGTCGTTTCGGCCGCGGAGCGCTTCGACATGGTCAACGCCGGAACACGACGGACGCACGTCGGCAGTACGCGACAGGGCGACCGCTCGGCTCACACCACGTTCGCCGACCCGATGGAAGTCGACAGATTCGAGGGGCGGCCACGTCCGAAAAACACCAACTACACGTGTGATTTTTTGCGGGGTGCCGGGCCACCGAATCTTCGACTGCAACAAAATGAAGGCCGCACGCGCAGAGTATCGGGCACGCAACAGTGGCGGAAATCTTTCGGCCAATCAGAAGACAAAAAACGGGAGTCGCCAGTGATTGCGGATCTAGCTGGCGAAAATAAAAAGATCCGAAAGCGGCCGCGGGATTCCGGAAAAATCAACTTCGACGAAGCTGATTCGACGCGAGAAGGAGGAAATGATGGGGGAAAATCTCCACCCCACGACCAGTCTTCGCCAGGGAAAATTGCCGAGGAAAAATACGACTCCGCGAAAAAAGACTCTGCCGAGACAGGGAAACTCCTTGAAGACCCAAGAAATTATAAGAATTCGTTAAAGTTATCTTATAAAGATGCTTTAATGAAAACTTATGATGTTCGAGGGGCTAGAGCCTTGGAGAAAATTCGGGAGGGACTCCAAAAGAAGCAGACAGCTGTGGAGATTATACCCGGTACCGGACAACTTGGGGACCAAATTAAGGAGTGTGGAAAGAAGCCGACCTTTCCACGGAGTCAACGTCCTCTCCCGACACCAGCCCACAACGACTACCTGCTCCCCAGGGAAGACGTCGGTGGAGCTGAAGCAGCTCAAGAGGAAGCTGGGGGTCTACAAGAAGCTGCACAAACCCCGAACTCTTTCTACGGATGCATCCAGTTCTTCGGCATCAGTGACGCGCACAGTCGTCAAAGAAACTCCGGGCCCTGGAGAAGAGCCGTTCTCCAAGCAGCCTTGGCCAGCTGCCAGTTCAGGAGTAGACAACAACACAAAGGTGTGTACGGAATATTGGGATGTACCCTATGACCCAATCAATGAAACTATCTTTGGGTACTCCGAGCAACGACTGCCCCTCGTGCTCGAGGTCATCTGCAAAGGACGACGCCTCCAAGCACTCGTGGACAGCGGAGCGTCACACACCGTCTGCGACAAGGCAATGATCGACCGACTCCGGGAAGAGTACAAGCCTTCAGGATTCTCTGCAACGATGGTGGACGGCAGCAAGTTACCAGTACACGGCGAAGCAGTGCTACATCTACAAATCGGACCACTGCGCTGGAGACCTGCACTCCCCATCACCAACATCAAAGGGCTTGACTTGATCTTCGGGCGAGACTTCCTGAAAAAATTCAACCCCGAGATCAACTGGGTGAACCGCACCGCTAGCATCTACAACAATGGACGGAGAGTACAGCTACCCAACTGGGACGACACTGGAGATATCCCAGTGGAGACACTCGCACGATTCGAGAAGGATGTGAAGCGGACCGACACCGGGTTCCTGGCGATAGCAACAGAGGTGGAGAATGACAGAGAGAAAGCCTCGGAAACTCCAGAAAAAATCAAGGAATTACTGAAGGAGTTCCAAGACATTCTTCCTGACGATCTTCCGAACGAGCTACCGCCATACCGAACGCATCAACACGAGATCGTGGAGGAACCGGGTTCGAAGCCGACCTTCCGAGCACCATACCGGCTCAGCCCTACGGAGCTGACCGACATGAAGAAGCAGATCGAGTATCTCCTAGCCAAAGGACTCATCCGACCATCTACTTCGCCATACGGTGCCCCAGTACTCTTCACACCGAAACCGGACGGAAGCCTGCGCATGTGCATCGACTACCGAGCTCTTAACAAGCAGACCATCAAGAATAAATATCCGATACCGCGAATCGATGACCTGCTTGACCAGCTTCGGGGAGCTACGGTATTTTCCAAACTGGATCTGCGGTCCGGATACTGGCAGATACGGATGGCGGACAACTCTATCCACAAAACTGCTTTTCGAACTCGGTATGGATCGTACGAGTATTTGGTCATGCCGTTCGGACTCACCAACGCGCCGGCAACGTTCCAAGCCGAAATGAACCACATTCTACGACCACTTCTGGACGAATGCGTGGTGGTGTACCTGGACGACATACTCATCTACTCGCGCGACATGAAGCAGCACGTCGAACACCTGCGACGCGTCTTCGAAATTCTTCGACGGGAACGATTCTACGTCAAACTGTCCAAGAGCGAATTCGCCCTTGAAAAGGTCCAGTTCCTAGGACACATGGTGAGCGCTCAAGGAGTTCACGTCGACCCCAAGAAAATCGAGGCCGTACGCACGTGGAAGACACCCGAGAACGTGAAGGAGTTGCAGCAGTTCCTAGGCTTCGCTAATTACTACAACAGGTTCGTGCCACAATATGCGAAAATCGCAGCACCACTCACGAATCTGCTGAAGAAGAACACGCCCTACAAATGGGAGACGAAGCACCAGGAAGCCGTGGAGCAGCTGAAACAAGCACTAACGTCCGCACCGGTGCTCATCTTGCCAGATCCCGAACGCGACTACGTAATCGAAGCTGACGCCAGCGACCAGGCAGTGGGAGCAGTCTTGATGCAAGACCAGGGGAATGGACTGCAACCAATTGCCTACCTCAGCAAGAAACTGCACGGGGCAGAACTCAACTACCCGATACACGACAAAGAGGCTCTTGCTATCATCATCGCCTTCAAAGCGTGGAGATGCTATCTCGAAGGACGAAGAACGACCGTCTACACCGACCACTGCAGCCTGAAATATTTGAAGACACAACCCAACCTTTCCAGGCGGCAGGTCCGGTGGATCGACTTCCTCGAGACACACTTCCACTACGACATCGTGTACAAGCCCGGCCACAAGAACAAAGCAGACGCTCTCAGCCGGCCTGCACACGTTGCCGCGATTCAGGTCGAAGGGATGAATCCACTACTCAAGGGACTCTTCACCCACGGGTACGCCATCGACCCCGAAATTTCCTTGGCAGAAAAGCGACATCTGCTACAATGGGACAGTGACATCGCGTACCGGAAAGGATCAACAAAAATCTGGGTACCCAATTACCCTCCTTTGCGCCAGTTACTACTCGAAGAATACCACGACGTCCTGTACGCCGGACACTTCGGTAGCAACAAGACGCTCACCGGTATCGCCAAACACTACTACTGGCCCCATATGGCAGACGACGTCCAGAAATTCGTCACCTCGTGTGATACATGTCAGCGGATGAAGAGCAGCAAGCAGAAAAAGGCGGGACTACTGCAGCCTCTTCCTGTCCCAGAACAACCATGGCAAGTGGTTAGCCTAGATTTCATCACCGGGTTACCACCTACCTCCAGCGGTCATGACGCCATCCTTGTCGTCATTGACAAGTTCTCCAAAATGGGACACTTCATCCCGACACACACGACGGCACGCACCGAGGAGACAGCACAGCTCTTCGTTCGTCACATCATCTCACAGCATGGCATCCCAACTACACTCATTTCCGACCGAGACCCCAAGTTCACTAGCAAGTTCTGGAAGGAACTTATGTCTCTTCTCGGGACCAAACTCGCCATGTCATCCGCATACCATCCGCAGACAGACGGACAGACCGAGCGCCTCAACCAAATTGTTGAGCAACTCCTCCGAGCAGCCTGCAAGGACGACATCTCCAAATGGGACTTGCACCTGCCCGTACTCGAGTTTGCTTACAACAATGCCACACATGCCGCTACTGGACAGACGCCGTTCTTCCTCTGCTACGGACGCCACCCACTCACACCACAAAAACCAACAGCATCACCTACAGTCCAACCCGCACATGATTTCATTACAACCATGCATCAACTTTGGGATCGGACCCATAAGCGCCTACTCGATATTCAACAGCAACAGAAGCGCCAAGCCGATCGCCATCGCAACGATCACACCATCACGGTGGGAGACCAGGTGCTTCTTGACACCCGCAACCTGGACATCAGCCATCTCCCATCTAAACTTCGACCTCGCTTCTGCGGGCCTTTCCTCGTTGAAGCACAGGTCACTCCCGTTACCTTCCGCTTACGCCTGCCAGCTACCTGGAAGATTCACAACGCCTTCCACGTCCAACTTCTGAAGCCCTATCGGGACCCGAACACAATTTTCGTCGGACGCCAACCGCCGCCGCCACCGCCCGTCCTCGTCCAGAATGAACCCGAGTACGAGGTCGAGTCCGTGCTCGCACACCGCCGTCGTCGGAATGGCACCGTGGAGCTTCTTATCCGTTGGAAGGGTTATGATCCTTCTGAGGATAGCTGGGTACCTGAGTCCGACATGGGTAACGCCCGTCGTCCTCTGCATGACTACCTTGTCAAGCAGGGTGTTACTTCTACCACCCAGCTTTGAGGGGGGGAAGTGTGAGAGTACGACCCCGTTACACCACTTGGCCTTTTCTTATTTCCTTCCCTTTTCATTTCTCGTTTTACCGCATCTCATTTGGTTTCCTCTTCTTCCTTTTCCATTATCCTTTGGTCTCTTCCTTTATTATAATTATATCACCGACCAAGCATGGAATGTACTAGAGACGTTATCCAGCGTAATCCTGCCGTAATCCCTTAAAGCCAATAGCCTCACGTGGCTATACGCAGGGTGATTCTATCTTCTAGAAGGGTCTATTCCCTTAGGATAAGATAAACCTGGTTACCTGATGTACTCTGGAAGTATAAAAGCGCCTTGTACTGATCGATAGTGCAACCTTTCCTCGACACATTCGATCCTGTGACAGTACCAGTCCCGAGGGTCCGACACAGGCCTGAAGCGGTGGCAGAACAGGTCGTTCAGCCGGCGGTAGCAGCGGTTGGCGGTGTGGCTGGGCCGGGGGCAGACAGTGCCATGGCGAGGGCCGGTTGAAGATGGTATTGGCAGGTGACCGTGCTGGAGCTGCCACCCGACACCAAGCTGCGCCCGCCCCCCCCACGACCACCGCCGCTAGCGCCGCCAGTCCACCACGGCGTGTGCTGCTGTTGCGACGAATGCAGCGGCGGGTGCGGCTGCTGCGGCTGCTAAGTCTGCTGCTGTTGCTGCTGAGGCTGCACCTCTTGCTGCGGCTGCTCCGGGGCACCAGCCCCGGCCCCCTTGTCAGAACCACCGTTCCCGCCCTCACCGCCGCCACCCTCCCCACCGCCACCCCCTTTCCCTCCAGCACGCCCCTCTTTGGTGCGGCGACCCTTACCCGGATGCTTCTGCGCTGAGGCCGCAGCAGCAATCTCAGCAACAATAGCAGAGACGTTAAAGTAAGTGCACTGGGAGGGAGCACAGCCCTAAAAGATAGGTACCACCGCTGTACCGCTAGACTAAGTGATACTGCGCTGGAGGGTCTCTATCTCAGACAGGGCTGTGACAAAGGCGGTGAGACTGAGGTCACCGGGGTGCTGACTAAGGGAGTGGTTGCGGGCTGTGGCTAGGCGGTCAGGGAGGCGCGAGGTGATGAGATGAAGGGTAGTGCAGAACGGCGGCGGAAAGGCAGTGAGCTGTGCCTCAGTGCTAGCAGCGCGGTAGCTTGTCTCAAGCGCGTGGAGGTGCGTTGCAAAGTCGACGACAGTGGGGAAGGATGCAAGATCAGAGAACAGAATGGGAAGGATCACGCGACCAGCAGAGGCAGTGGTGGGGGTGAAATAGCGCGTAATGACAGCATCTAAGAATGCCTGGGCGTTGGCTACAGTGGTGAAGCGAGAACGCTCAGACAGCGGAGGCGCACGGCTGATAGCAAGCTGGGCGACATCGTCGCAAGAGTCCCAGATGGCATGACCAAGCGCAGCAGCAGAAAAGGCCTCACGCCCAGTAGTGGTGGGGGCATCAGGGAGGGCAGTAGGGGCAGGAGGGCGGGGAAGCAGGCCATCGACATGAACCCTAGCCCTGTAAGGTGACGTCGAAGGTCGACGAGCCATGCCTTAAAGTCGAGCGCCTGACCCTCTGCGTCCAAACGGAGCTGTGACTCCGCCATCGCCACTGCTGCATCTCCTGACGTCCGCTGACAAAGTGAGGAGGAGATGTGGAGGAAGCGGCGAAGAGAGGTGGAGTGCGGTGTAGTGCACTGGAGTGCGGTGGAGTGCAATGGAGAGCGGTGGAAAGCGTTAGAGACAGCCGGCAGGGAAGCCGGCGCTGAAGGGAGCCAGAGCCGGTGGGTCGGCACTGGGACTCGATTGTCTGGCTGTTGGCCGCTGAAGCGGGGGCCGGCGAGGCTAGAGCCGGCTGGTTGGGCGGCTGGCTAGCCGATGTGAGAGTACGATCCCGTTACACCACTTGTCCCTTTCCCTACTTCCTTTCTATTTCATCTCTCTTTTTATCCCATATTCTTTGGCTTCCTATTCTCCATTTTCCATTATCCTTTGGTCTATTCTGCTATTATTATTATATCACTGACCAGGCTCGGGATGTACTGGCGCGCTATATCCAGCGTAATCCTGCCGTAATCCCTTAAAGCCAATAGCCTCGCGTGGCTATACGCAGGGTGATTCTAGTTTCTAGAAGGGTCTATTCCCTTAGGATAGGATAAACCTGGTTACCAAATGTACTTTGGAAGTAATAAAGTGCCTTGTACTGATCGATAGTGCCACCTTTCCTCGTCACATTCGATCCGGTGACACTTGGTAATCAGAGCTTTTCTCACTCGGCCGCGCTCAGCTAAGCAGCCGCAGCGGGACTCCTACCTCGAAAAACCGCAAGGGGCGACTAATTCGACGCCGATTCTGGTAAGCACCAGCTCCGCGATTTTTTGAATTACCCCCTCCGCACGTGTTTTGAACAGGATGGCAAACTTTGACAACGCCGAAGTTACCCAGCAACTCTTTGCGAGCATCGCAGCCCTACAGGAGGAGATGCGAGCCGACCGCGAAGCTTGGCGACAAGAGTTCGAGCGAGTAACTCGACTCGCCGGCGCGCAAAACGAGAAGACAACGACGACAACGCAGCAGTCGAAGCAGTTTCTCGAGGCTCCGAAGCCGCGCCCACCTGAGCCGCTCGATTCGAGCGATCGAAACTCCGACGTCCGCAGATGGATCGCCGGCATGGAGATCTACTTCGCAGCCGTCGGATGGAGCTCGCCAGTCTGGGATGGTCAACGTGTACGACTCGCAGAGACACTGATGCGAGGACCAGCACTCGAGTGGATCGCGGTAACAGCACCTTCATCCACGTGGAAGCCACGTGGCAGCAGTTCCGCACCGACCTGCTGAAACGTTTTGAGCCGATAAATTTGGGTTTCCTTGCCCGGGAAACAATTCATCACCATCGACAGTTCAGGAGTGTAGCACAGTACAAGCAGCAGATGGAGGAATTTTATAACCGTATTCCCGACCTGACCGAAGGGGAAAAAGTACAGTCATACCTCGTCGGGCTGAAGACCGAAGTCAAACGACAAGTGGCAGCGACAAACTACGCGAGCTACCGTGACGTCGTATCGGCCGCGGAACGCTTCGACATGCTCAACGCCGGAACACGACGGACGCACGTCGGTAGTATGTGACAGGGCGACCACTTGGCTCACACCACGTTCGCCGACCCGATGGAAGTCGACAGATTCGAAGGGCGGCCACGTCCGAAAAACACCAACTTCACGTGTGATTTTTGTGGAGTGCCGGGTTATTGAATCTTCGACTGCAACAAAACGAAAGCCACATGCGCTGAGTATCAGGCACGCAACAGTGGCGGATATCATTCGGCCAATCAAAAAAAAAAAAAAAACGGGAGTCGCCAGTAATTGCGGATCTAGCTGGCGAAAAAGAAAAGATCTGAAAGCGGCCGCGGGATTCCAGAAAAATCAACTTCGACAAAGCTGATTCGACGCGAGCAGGAGGAAATGATGCGGGAAAATCTCCACCCCACGACCAGTCTTCACAAGGGAAAATCACCAGGAAAAAATCCGACTCCGCGAAAAAAGACTCTGCCGAGACGGGGAAACTCCTTGAAGACCCAAAATATTGTAAGGATTCGTCAAAGTTATCCTGTAAATATGCTTTAATGAAAACTTATGATTCTCGAGGGGCTAGAGACTTGGAGAAAATTCGGGAGGGACTCCAGAAGAAGCAGAAAGCTGTGGAGATTATATCTGTACCGGACAACTTGGGAAAAAAATTAAGGAGTGTGGAAAGAAGCCGACCTTTCCACGGAGTCAACGTCCTCTCCCGACACCAGCCCACAACGACAACCCGTTCCCCAGGGAAGACGTCAGTGGAGCTGAAGCAGCTCAAGAGGAAGCTGGGGGTCTACAAGAAGCTGCAAAAATCCCGAACTCCTCCTCCGGATGCATCAACGAAGACTTCGGTAAGAGTACAAGCCTTCAGTATTCTCTGCAACGATGGTGGACGGAAGCAAGTTACCAGTACACGTCGAAGCAGTGTTATACCTACAAATTGGACCACTGCGCTGGAGACATGCACTCCTCATCACCAACATCAAAGGGCTTGAATTGATCTCCGGGCAAGACTTCCTAAAAAGATTCAACCCCGAGATCAACTGGGTGAACCGTATCGCAAGAATCTACAACAATAAAAGGAGAGTACAGCTACAACTTGGACGATACAGGAGATATCCCAGTGGAGACACTCGCACGATTTGAGAAGGACGTGAAGCGAACCGACACCGGGTTCCTGGCGATAGCAACAGAAGTGGAAAACGACGGAGAGGAAAACTAGGAACCTCCACAAAAAATCAAAGAGTTGCTGAAGGAGTTCCAGGACGTCCTTCCCGACGATCTTCCGAACGAGCTACCGCCATACCGAACGCATCAACACGAGATCGTGGAGGAACCGGGTTCGAAGCCAACCTTACGAGCACCATATCGGCTCAGCCCTACTGAGTTGACTGACATGAAAAAACAGATCGAGTATCTCCTAGCCAAAGGGCTCATTCGACCATCCACTTTTCCATACGGTGCTCCAGTGCTCTTCACCCCGAAACCGGACGGAAGCCTGCGCATGTGCATCGATTACCGGGCTCTCAACAAGCAGACCATCAAGAATAAATATCCGATACCACACATCGATGACCTGCTTGACCAGCTTTGGGGAGCTACGGTATTTTCCAAACTGGATATGCGGTCTGGATACTGGCAGATACGAATGGCGGATAACTCCATCCATAAAACTGCCTTCCGAACTCAGTACGAATCGTATGAGTATGTGGTAATGCCATTCGGACTCACCAACGCACCGGCAACATTCCAAGCCGAAATGAACCATATTCTACGGCCACTTTTGGACGAATGCGTGGTGGTGTACCTGGACGACATCCTCATCTACTCATACGACTTGAAACAGCACGTCGAACACCTACAACGCGTCTTCGAAATTCTTCGATGAGAACGATTCTACGTCAAAATGTCCTAGAGCGAATTCGCCCTCGAGAAAGTCCAATTCCTAGGACACATGATGAGCGCTCAAGGAGTTCACATCGACCCCAGGAAAATCGAAGCCGTACGCACGTGGAAGACACCCAAGAACGTGAAGGAGTTGCGGACGTTCCTAGGCTTCGCTAATTATTACAACACGTTCGTGCCATAGTACGCGAAACTCGCAGCACCACTCACGAATCTACTAAAAAAGAACACGCCCTGTAAATGGGAGCTGAAGCATCAGGAAGTCGTGGAGCTGCTAAAACAAGCACTCACTTCCGCACCAGTACACATCTTGCCAGATCCTGAACGCGATTACGTCATCGAAGCTGACGCCAGCGACCAAGCAGTGGAAGCAATCTTGATGCAAGAGCAGGGGAATGGACTGCAACCAAGCGCCTACCTGAGTAAAAAACTACATGGGGCAGAACTATAACTACCAGATACACGACAAAGAGGCCCTTGCTATCGTCATCGCCTTCAAAGCGTGGAGATGTTATCTTGAAGGATGAAAAACGACTGTCTACACCGACCACTGCAGCCTGAAACATTTGAAGACACAACCAAACCTTTCCAGGCGGCAGGTCCGGTGGATTGACTTCCTCGAGACACACTTGCACTATGACATCGTGTACAAGCCCGGCCACAAAAACAAAGCAGACGCTCTTAGCCGGCCTGCACACGTCGCCGCTCTCCAAGTTGAGGGGACGAATCCACTACTCAAGGGACTCTTTACACACGGGTACACCATCGACTCAAAAATTCCCTTGGCAGAGAAGCGACACCTGCTACAGTGGGGGACAGTGATATTGCGGACCGGAAAGGATCAACAAAAATCTGGGTACCTAATCAACCTCCTTTGCGCCAGTTACTACTCGAAGAATATCACGATGTCCTATACGCATGACACTTTGGTAGCAATAAGACACTGACCAATATTGCAAAGCACTACTACTGGCCCCATTTGGCAGAAGATGTTCAGAAATCTGTAACCTCATGTGATACATGTCAATGGATGAAGAGCAGCAAGCAGAAGAAAGCGGGTCTACTGTAGCCTCTTCCTGTCCCAGAAGAACCATGTCAAGTGGTTGGGCTGGATTTCATCACCGGGTTACCACCTTCCACCAGCGGTCATGACGCCATCCTTGTCGTCATCGACCAATTCTCCAAAATGGGACACTTCATCCCAACACACACGACACCACGCACCGAAGAATCAGCACAACTCTTCACACGATTTCATCACAACCATGCATCAGCTTTGGGATCGGAAGCACCTCCTCGACATCCAACAGGAACACAAGCGCCAGGCCGATCGCCATCGCAATGATCACACCATTACCGTGGGAACCAGGTGCTCCTCGACCCCCGCAACCTTCACATCAGCCATCTCCCATCTAAACTACGACCTCGCTTTTGCGGGCCTTTCCTCGTTGAAGCACAGGTCACTCCTGTTTCCTTCCGCTTACGCCTGCCAGCTACCTGGAAGATTCACATTGCCTTCCATGTCCAACTTCTGAAGCCCTATCGGGATCCGAACACGATCTTCGTCAGACGCCAACCGTCGCCGCTGCCGCCCGTCCTCGTCCGGAATGAACCCGAGTACGAGGTCGAGTCCGTGCTTGCACACCACCGTCGTCGGAATGGCACCGTGGAGCTTCTCATTCGTTGGAAGGGTTATGATCCTTCTGCGGACAGCTAGGTACCTGAGACCGACATGGGTAACGCCCGTCGTCCTCTTCATGACTACCTTGTCAAGCAGGGTGTTACTTCTACCACCCGGCTTTGAGGGGGGAAGTGTGAGAGTACGATCTCGTTACACCACTTGTCCCTTTCCCTATTTCCTTTCTATTTCATCTCTCTTTTTATCCCATCTTCTTTGGTTTCCTGTTATATTTTCTATTATCCTTTGGTTTTGTGAGAGTACGACCCCGTTACACCATTTGTTCCTTTCCCTATTTCCTTTCCATCCCATCTCTCTTTTTATCTCATCTCATTCGGTTTCCTATTCTCCATTTTCCATTATCCTTTGGTTTATCCTGTTATTATCATTACATCACCGACCAGGCTTGGGATGTACTGGTGCGCTATATCTAGCGTAATCCTGCCGTAATCCCTTCAAGCCAATAGCCTCGCGTGGCTATACGCAGGGTGATTCTATTTTCTAGAAGGGTCTATTCCCTTGGGATAAGATAAACCTGGTTACCTGATGTACTCTGGAAGTATAAAAGCGCCTTGTACTGATCGTTAGTGCAATCTTTCCTCGACACATTCGATCCTGTGACAGGTTTATTCTGTTATTATAATTATATCACCGACCAGGCTCGGGATGTACTGGCGCGCTATATCCAACGCAATCCTGCCGTAATCCCTTAAAGCTAGTAGCCTCACATGGCTATACGCAGGGTGATTCTATTTTCTAGAAGGGTCTATTCCCGTGGATATGATAAACCTGGTTACCTGATGTATTCTGGAAGTAAAAAAGCGCCTTGTATCAATCGATAGTGCAATCTTTCTTCGACACATTCGATCTTGTGACAGCCAACCGGGTGGCAAGGGCTGACGGGGCACACAGGGCCGACGGGGCGTGGGCGGGGCCGGTAGGGCGCCAACGGGGCCGGCGGGGCGCTAACAGGCCGGCGGGGTGAGCAGGGCCAGAGGGGCGCAAGGGACCGACGGGGCACTAACGGGCCGGCAGGGCGTTAATGGGCCGGCGGAGCGCTAGCAGGCAGGCAAGGCGAGCAGGGCTAGAGGGGGCGCACGGGGGCGACGGGGCGCTAGCGGGCCGGTAGGGCGCTAGCAGGCCGGCGGGGCGAGCAGGGCCAGAGGGGGCGCACGGGGGCGTCGGGGCGCTAGCAAGGCCGACGGGCGCTAACGGGCCAGAGGGGGCCGACGGGGTGCTAACGGGCCAAAGGGGGGCCGACGGGGCGCTAAGGGGGCGCTAACAGGCCGGCAGGGCGCTAACGGGCCAGAGGGGCGCTAACGGGGCCGGAAGGGCGCTAACGGGCCGGTGGGGCGGATGGGGCCGTCGAGGCACGAAGGGGTGGCTAGGAGCGGGTGGCTAGGACTAGGACGAGAGCAGAAGCGCGGGTGGGTGGAGAGGACCTAACCTAGCGCGTGATACCATCTCAGAGTAGAAAGTTGACTAGAATGAGGCATACATGTTGATTTTGTTCAAGTTGTTGTACCCTCTAAGAGCATGCACCTATCTAGCCTATTCTTATATATACAAATATGTTTGACACTGCTGAGGCAAGGGATGCAGCACTTGATGAGGAGCGTCTCACCATCAAGTTTTTTCAGTAGGAGCTGCCACGTTTGCGAGCTGAACGAGCTCAAACCGAATCAGCGATATCTGCACTACTGGAAGAGATATGCAACTTGCGATGCCAGACGACAACACCAACGACAAACCAGTGAAAGAAGTAACCAGTAATAGACCAGCATTCCAAAATCTGGTGCGACAACCAACAACCACATGCAACTTCGCCTGAGGGCTCGTCGAACGAAGCGAATCCCACGATTGGCCGAGCGGAAATCAGCGACGGAGCAAATGTAAAATAAATCGCCACAGATACTGCAACGTCAGCATGATACCTGACGTACTCAAGACGTAGTGGCCATCCGCTTTGGAACCAAGCGTGCAAGAAAGTATATATGTCAATGAATAGATTTTTCATCTCAATGTTTTTACGACTGCAATCTCGTCGTCGACGACGCTCAGAAGACCCGATACGCCATGTCACTCCTACGTGGATTGACGATGGATAGACGATGGATTGCTAACAGTAGATGGTATAGTCGCACAAGCAGCCATGTACGACGCCGCACGCGATCGGAGGATTTTACACAACCAACCACTAGTCAGGAAGTTATCGCGAAGTGGACGAGTATAGCGCATGACAATCGTGGTGCCCGGGAATTTGTCGTCGCTTTGAATACGCCAGTGCTAGCAACCAGACGCGCAACCGCCTTTGTACTTGGTGCCAACTCGGATCAATTCAAGACTACACCAGGAGCTTCCAGGGAATATGCGATCAAATCAAACACATGCACCTAGAAGAAAACTTTGACGGTTACATCGGCGAACTGTGCCCCGAGTTACGACACGAAATTCAGGTTCGTAAAATTTTTGATATACTCAATGCGCTTAGGTTTGCGGAGGGGTTTGATTAGTTCTTCAAACCAAGGTCGGGTTCCTATGATGGAAATTGCATTTGGGGACCGATCGAGTGTGCAACTGTACACGTTGTTGCTTCATCAAACGCATGTGTTACAACTTTCAATGGACACTGCTTCGGATCTAACAGACCGGGACACCGCAAGTCAAGATGCCCAGGGGAGCAAAAGAAGCAAAATTAAGGGCACGGAAGTTCCAGGGGTTAGGAAACACGTAGTGCTAGTATTTTCAGGGCCCACTACTGACGGAACTTGCTCGCCCGTGACTGACGACCCTCATCGAATAGTGGTACTGATTCACGCAATCGGCCAGATTTGGCTGAATATGGAGGGTACTGTAGTGGATTACCCATTTTGTTTAGAGGGTAGATTCAAGGGAAAAAACTGAAAATTTTCGTAGACGCATGTGCTAGCAGAGCCTTGTTAATCTCATACAGCAATAAATTTTGGGTTACACCTTAGTTAGATGTCTACCGGAGATCAACACCCATCTAGTCGATGGTACACCATTAGCAATATTAGACCGAGGGTAGCAGATAAGGTTACACTACGGAGCTGACTTCAAGTTTTCTTTTGGATGTTGGCAAATTTTCTCCACGGTTTTGCTATGCTGATGGGTCACGACTGGTTGCGGGGAAAAAGAAAAAGAAAAGAGAGAGAGAGAGAGAGAGAGAGAGAAGCAAATGGGGGATCCCTCTTGAACCCTCCTGCCAATATCATTGAGGCACATGTCGTGTGGGCCCAAATGTCACAGGGGTTATGCAGGAAGTGCCAGGCTGTCAACAGCTTGTAGCGCCAAGCCTTTAGTGGTTG